AAGTGCATGTTGTATGTGTGCATGTGTGCATAAGTGCATGTTGTATGTGTGCATGTGTGCATAAGTGCATGTTGTATGTGTGCATGTGTGCAGAAGTGCATGTTGTATGTGTGCATGTGTGCATGTGTGCATAAGTGCATGTTGTATGTGTGCATGTGTGCATAAGTGCATGTTGTATGGGTGCATGTGTGCATAAGTGCATGTTTCATGTGTGCATGTGTGCATAAGTGCATGTTGTATGTGTGCATGTGTGCATAAGTGCAAGTTGTATGTGTGCATGTGTGCATAAGTGCAAGTTGTATGTGTGCATGTGTGCATAAGTGCATGTTGTATGCGTGCAGGTGTGCATAAGTGCATGTTGTATGTGTGCAGGTGTGCATAAGTGCATGTTGTATGTGTGCATGTGTGCATAAGTGCATGTTGTATGTGTGCAGGTGTGCATAAGTGCATGTTGTATGTGTGCATGTGTGCATAAGTGCATGTTGTATGTGTGCATGTGTGCATAAGTGCATGTTGTATGTGTGCATGTGTGCATAAGTGCATGTTGTATGTGTGCAGGTGTGCATAAGTGCATGTTGTATGTGTGCATGTGTGCATAAGTGCATGTTGTATGTGTGCATGTGTGCATAAGTGCAAGTTGTATGTGTGCATGTGTGCATAAGTGCAAGTTGTATGTGTGCATGTGTGCATAAGTGCAAGTTGTATGTGTGCATGTGTGCATAAGTGCATGTTGTATGTGTGCATGTGTGCATAAGTGCATGTTGTATGTGTGCATGTGTGCATAAGTGCATGTTGTATGTGTGCATGTGGGCATAAGTGCATGTTGTATGTGTGCATGTGTGCATAAGTGCATGTTGTATGTGTGCATGTGTGCATGTGTGCATAAGTGCATGTTGTATGTGTGCATGTGTGCATGTGTGCATGTGTGCATAAGTGCATGTTGTATGTGTGCATGTGTGCATGTGTGCATAAGTGCATGTTGTATGTGTGCATGTGTGCATAAGTGCATGTTGTATGTGTGCATGTGTGCATAAGTGCATGTTGTATGTGTGCATGTGTGCATAAGTGCATGTTGTATGTGTGCATGTGTGCATAAGTTCATGTTGTATGTGTGCATGTGTGCATAAGTGCATGTTGTATGTGTGCATGTGTGCATGTGTGCATGTGTGCATAAGTGCATGTTGTATGTGTGCATGTGTGCATGTGTGCATAAGTGCATGTTGTATGTGTGCATGTGTGCATAAGTGCATGTTGTATGTGTGCATGTGTGCATAAGTGCATGTTGTATGTGTGCATGTGTGCATAAGTGCATGTTGTATGTGTGCATGTGTGCATAAGTTCATGTTGTATGTGTGCATGTGTGCATAAGTGCATGTTGTATGTGTGCATGTGTGCATGTGTGCATAAGTGCATGTTGTATGTGTTAATGTGTGCATAAGTGCATGTTGTATGTGTGCATGTGTGCATAAGTGCATGTTGTATGTGTGCAGGTGTGCATAAGTGCATGTTGTATGTGTGCATGTGTGCATAAGTGCATGTTGTATGTGTGCATGTGTGCATAAGTGCATGTTGTATGTGTGCATGTGTGCATAAGTGCATGTTGTATGTGTGCAGGTGTGCATAAGTGCATGTTGTATGTGTGCATGTGTGCATAAGTGCATGTTGTATGTGTGCATGTGTGCATAAGTGCATGTTGTATGTGTGCATGTGTGCATAAGTGCAAGTTGTATGTGTGCATGTGTGCATAAGTGCAAGTTGTATGTGTGCATGTGTGCATAAGTGCATGTTGTATGCGTGCAGGTGTGCATAAGTGCATGTTGTATGTGTGCAGGTGTGCATAAGTGCATGTTGTATGTGTGCATGTGTGCATAAGTGCATGTTGTATGTGTTAATGTGTGCATAAGTGCATGTTGTATGTGTGCATGTGTGCATAAGTGCATGTTGTATGTGTGCAGGTGTGCATAAGTGCATGTTGTATGTGTGCATGTGTGCATAAGTGCATGTTGTATGTGTGCATGTGTGCATAAGTGCATGTTGTATGTGTGCATGTGTGCATAAGTGCATGTTGTATGTGTGCATGTGTGCATGTGTGCATGTGTGCATAAGTGCATGTTGTATGCGTGCAGGTGTGCATAAGTGCATGTTGTATGTGTGCAGGTGTGCATAAGTGCAAGTTGTATGTGTGCATGTGTGCATAAGTGCATGTTGTATGCGTGCAGGTGTGCATAAGTGCATGTTGTATGTGTGCAGGTGTGCATAAGTGCATGTTGTATGTGTGCATGTGTGCATAAGTGCATGTTGTATGTGTTAATGTGTGCATAAGTGCATGTTGTATGTGTGCATGTGTGCATAAGTGCATGTTGTATGTGTGCAGGTGTGCATAAGTGCATGTTGTATGTGTGCATGTGTGCATAAGTGCATGTTGTATGTGTGCATGTGTGCATAAGTGCATGTTGTATGTGTGCATGTGTGCATAAGTGCATGTTGTATGGGTGCATGTGTGCATAAGTGCATGTTGTATGTGTGCATGTGTGCATAAGTGCATGTTGTATGTGTGCATGTGGGCATAAGTGCATGTTGTATGTGTGCATGTGTGCATAAGTGCATGTTGTATGTGTGCATGTGTGCATAAGTGCATGTTGTATGTGTGCATGTGTGCATAAGTGCATGTTATATGTGTGCATGTGGGCATAAGTGCATGTTGTATGTGTGCTGGTGTGCATAAGTGCATGTTGTATGTGTGCATGTGTGCATAAGTGCATGTTGTATGTGTGCATGTGTGCATAAGTGCATGTTGTATGTGTGCATGTGTGCATAAGTGCAAGTTGTATGTGTGCATGCGTGCATAAGTGCAAGTTGTATGTGTGCATGTGTGCATAAGTGCATGTTGTATGCCTGCAGGTGTGCATAAGTGCATGTTGTATGTGTGCAGGTGTGCATAAGTGCATGTTGTATGTGTGCATGTGTGCATAAGTGCATTTTGTATGTTTTAATGTCTGCATAAGTGCATGTTGTATGTGTGCATGTGTGCATAAGTGCATGTTGTATGTGTGCATGTGTGCATAAGTGCATGTTGTATGTGTGCATGTGTGCATAATTGCATGTTGTATGTGTGCATGTGTGCATGTGTGCATAAGTGCATGTTGTATGTGTGCATGTGTGCATGTGTGCATGTGTGCATAAGTGCATGTTGTATGTGTGCATGTGTGCATAAGTGCATGTTGTATGTGTGCATGTGTGCATAAGTGCATGTTGTATGTGTGCATGTGTGCATAAGTGCATGTTGTATGTGTGCATGTGTGCATAAGTGCATGTTGTATGGGTGCATGTGTGCATAAGTGCATGTTGTATGTGTGCATGTGTGCATAAGTGCATGTTGTATGTGTGCATGTGTGCATAAGTGCATGTTATATGTGTGCATGTGGGCATAAGTGCATGTTGTATGTGTGCATGTGTGCATAAGTGCATGTTGTATGTGTGCATGTGTGCATAAGTGCATGTTGTATGTGTGCATGTGTGCATAAGTGCATGTTGTATGTGTGCATGTGTGCATAAGTGCATGTTGTATGTGTGCATGTGTGCATAAGTGCATGTTGTATGTGTGCATGTGTGCATAAGTGCATGTTGTATGTGTGCATGTGTGCATAAGTGCATGTTGTATGTGTGCATGTGTGCATAAGTGCATGTTGTATGTGTGCATGTGTGCATAAGTGCATGTTGTATGTGTGCATGTGGGCATAAGTGCATGTTGTATGTGTGCATGTGTGCATAAGTGCATGTTGTATGTGTGCATGTGTGCATGTGTGCATAAGTGCATGTTGTATGTGTGCATGTGTGCATGTGTGCATGTGTGCATAAGTGCATGTTGTATGTGTGCATGTGTGCATGTGTGCATAAGTGCATGTTGTATGTGTGCATGTGTGCATAAGTGCATGTTGTATGTGTGCATGTGTGCATAAGTGCATGTTGTATGTGTGCATGTGTGCATAAGTGCATGTTGTATGTGTGCATGTGTGCATAAGTGCATGTTGTATGTGTGCATGTGTGCATAAGTGCATGTTGTATGTGTGCATGTGTGCATAAGTGCATGTTGTATGTGTTAATGTGTGCATAAGTGCATGTTGTATGTGTGCATGTGTGCATAAGTGCATGTTGTATGTGTGCAGGTGTGCATAAGTGCATGTTGTATGTGTGCATGTGTGCATAAGTGCATGTTGTATGTGTGCATGTGTGCATAAGTGCATGTTGTATGTGTGCATGTGTGCATAAGTGCATGTTGTATGTGTGCATGTGTGCATGTGTGCATAAGTGCATGTGTGGATACATGGGTGCATTAGGGAGTGAACAAAGCTGCTGCAGCAGCAGCAGACAACCATGAGCAGTGAGGGCACGGAACATCTCAATTCAAAATGGCTTTCCAAACAAGCTTTTCAATCAACCACTTCGGTAGGAAGCATTAAAATACTGTTTAGAACGTTTATAAGTGGTACGTTATGGTACTCTTGGACGTTCATGTCCTGAACAGCATTTGAATTGAAATGAGATGCCCCGTGCCCTGAGGGGAAGCTTCAGGTGCGGCAGCAGATGATGTGAGCTGACCTGAATGGAAGGTGGTGCCGTGCGTGCGTGGGTGCGTGGATGCATGGTTGCGCTGGTGCGTGCATGCATGGGTGTGGACTTCCGTATTTCGTTCTTTTCTGAAAGCCTTTGTCTCATTTTGTTCTTCTCTGAAAGCCTTTGTCTCATTTTGTTCTTCTCTGAAAGCCGTTGTCTCATTTTGTTCTTCTCTGAAAGCCTTTGTCTCATTTTGTTCTTCTCTGAAAGCATGTGTCTCATTTCGTTCTTCTCTGAAAGCCTTTGTCTCATTTTGTTCTTCTCTGAAAGCATTTGTCTCATTTCGTTCTTCTCTGAAAGCCTTTGTCTCATTTGCTACATCAGTGCCCGTTTTCTCCCCTCCACACCACACCGTCCTCTCCGCGTCCGCCCGTCACTGATTGCAGAGCTGCTGGCCTCGCATGACCGACTGCAAGCCCAGCTGCACACGGCCATGGACATGACAGGTGAGGCGTGTGGAGTGATGCGTGGGGAGTGATGCGTGTGGAGTGATGCGTGTGGAGCAAAGCGTGGGGAGTGAGGCGTGGGGAGCAAGGCGCGAGGCATGGGGGTGAGACATGGGGTTGAGGCATTGGGGTGAGGCATGTTTAGACCGGACTATGTTTAGACCAACTTGCTCCAGCCCATCTGACATCAGACTGACCTGGAGAAGCAAAGGAAGGGGCAGACGGAGAGGCACTGATGTAGCAATGGCAGACGAAGCACGCGGAAAATAGAGTAGCATTCACAATTCCCCTTCTCTTCCCGCCCTTGACCCCTCTCTCGCTCGCTGCCTCTCTCCAGGTGACAGGTTGCCTGTGTCTGAAGAGGGAGGAGGCAAGGAGTGTGTGGCGGTGTGCGTTGCAGCACATGGCGGGCTGAGTGCTATTGAGGAGCACATGGGGAAATAGGCTGAGAAGGGGGGCTCGGCGTGAGGTTGAAGTGATCATCCATGCAGCATCAACAGCAGGAGGGGAGGGGGTGCTATGGCTTGCTGTGGCAGTGTATGCAGCAGCGCATGGCGGGCTGAGTGCTGTTCAAGATCACATGGGGAAACAGGCGGAGAATGGGGGTACGTTGTGAGAGAGGAGGGCGGAAGGAGTGAGAGAGGAGATGTATGCAACATCAGCAACAGGAGGGAAGGGTGCTGCAGTGGTGCTGGTGGAAGCATAAGAGAGCACGCAGGAAGGCTCAGGAGGTGCAGGGGGAGAAGGGAGACGGAGGGGGAAGGGGTTGGATGGCAAAGGGGAGGATGGCAAAGGGGAGGATGGCAAAGGGGAGGAGGGCAAAGGGGAAGACGGCAGAGGGGAGAGGGCAGGGCTGCTTTGGCAGGGGATGGAAGTAGTGTGTTGAGCAGAGGGGTATGTCAAGGGAGGGACCGGACAGTTTATGGATGGGAGGCAGAGGCTAATGGATGTTGTGCCGTGGTGGTGAAAGAGTGTGGAGTGGAGTGTTGGTGAATGAGGGGATAGATTGATTGATTGATTGCACGCCAGCACATCCAATGAGAGGGCTAATTGATTGTATTGATACGTGTACAGGAAGCAGGACAAGGGATATGTTTAGAGGGTTGGACATGAGTTGTGTTGTTTCTACTGGTTGCAATACGGTAGCGAATGTAATCGCACTGAGAATAAGCGAATACTGCTCTTGTCCTACCCACCACCAGCCAGACATTCACACATGAGCAACTCATGAGATGTAGGGGGCAGCAGCAGTCTCACTGCCCAGTAGCCATGGTTCACATCACATGTGTTGGAATTATGGTTATTTCGAGTTGCTCCAATAAACATATGTATTGCTAGATCTACACTGAAGTATGTTAGAATCTTACGGGAGAAAAGGTGGTTTCGACTATCGAGAGGGTTGGTACAAAGTGAAAACCCAAGGGGTTGTACCCCACAGTGAGTACCCCACTAAGCCTACCCAAACTATAACACATATATACAAATGTTTGACACACCCCCATAGGCAAAGTGGGGGACAACAGAGGGTCACAAGACCAGTCAGGAAGTGCAAAGCAAGCTCAGGGTGGATCACAACGTCACCACGCAGTCTGAGCACAAGCAAGAAGGCCACAAGGCCAGTTCACATGCAGAAATATATATGTAACATCAACAGTACAGTGATATCTACGCACAAGAACAAGTATGCAGGAATACATATAAATCATGGTACAAACAAAGCCTACAGCAAGTGAGGAAGAGTGGGCACAAGGCCTAACAAAGTGCAGAAACGCTGATGATCACCAGGCGGAAGTGCCTTGGTGAATATATCAGCAGTGTTGGCCCGAGTGGCCACGTAGGTAAGACGAAGCTGGCCACGCTGCTGCAGCTCTCGAGCAAGAAAGTAACGGAGAGCGATGTGCTTTGTTCTGTGCTCCAGCCTGTGCTCCTGACACAAGGCAATGGCAGCCTTGTTGTCGACGTACAGAACTGGAGGAGAACGAGGCCTCTCTCCCAAGTCGGTCAGCAGGTAGGTGAGCCAGCACAGCTCCTGTGCAGCCATGGCTGTGGCGTAGATCTCTGCCTCACAGCTGGAGCCAAGAACTGAAGACGAACGTGTAGAACGCCAGGAAACTGAACCAGAACCAAGGCTGAAGGTGTAACCCTGTGACGACCGCTGCGTAGCCTGGTCGTCAACCCAAGAGGCGTCCGAGTGACCTGTGAGGACAACGTCACCCCGTCCTCCAAGCACGAGCCCCATGCCCGATGTACTGCACAAGTAGCGTAGTACCCTCTTGGCAGCATCCATGTGCACCTTTCGGTGCCGACCAGGAGCCACGTAGCGAGCCAGAAGGCCAAGAGGGTACGCAAGGTCAGGACGAGTGCAAGTCATCAGGTACATGAGGTAGCCCACTAACTCTGGGTAAGGACCACTCGGCTCTACGGACTCGTCCGAAGGTGGAGCTGAGAGCGAGTGACCTGTAGCCAAAAGAGTGGCCTGTGCTGAGGACCAGGTGAAACCGAAGCGCTGAAGGACCTGCTGCACCATGTGTGACTGAGTCAGTGTGATGGTGCGGCGTGCTCTGTCCCGGGTGATCTGCAAGCCAAGGTAGCTGCGCAGTTCACCCAGGTCTGTGCACGTGTGTCTCTTCTGCAGCTCGGACTTCACCAGGGCGAGAGCCTCAGTGTCAGCAGTGGCAAAGACCAAGTCGTCGACGTACACGAGAACGTAGAACGGCGGCAGAGAAGTGTCTGTGCGCAAAAGCAGCGACGGGTCAGCAGTCGACGGAGCAAACCCAAGAGCCGCAAGTGTCGTCCTCAGTGTGTCGTGCCACTCACGTGGCGCCTGGCGGAGACCGTAGACCGGCCGCCGGAGGCTCCACTGGGTACCAGGAGGGAACGACCCAGTGAAGCCAGGAGGGCGGCGCAGCCAAATCTCCTCGTGCAGGCTGCCCTGTAAGAAGGCTGTGCTGAAGTCAAGAGAGTGAAGCTCGTAGTCACGCTGAGCGGCAACGTGCAGCAGCACCCGAAGAGTGGTCATCTTCGGGGTGGGGGAGAAGGTCTGGAAGAAGTCAACTCCCTCTCGCTGACTAAAGCCTCGAGCCACGTACCGAGCCTTGAAGACGCGGAGAACCTAGCGGCCGCTTCACCCTGAAAATCCACATGCCACTGACAATGTTCGCCCCAGGAGGGGGAACCTCGTCGACGTAGGTGCCTGTGGACTTCCAGGATGCCATCTCTGCGTCCATGGCTGTCTGCCACTGAGAGGAGTACTCACCCGCGATCGCCTCAGCGTAAGAGCGCGGGGTAGGGATGTCTGGTGCATCTGGGTCTCCCTCAGGGGCAAGCATCATGGATACGAGATGAGGTGCAGCGGCTGCAAGACACTCAAGGTCCTCCTGCCTGTCCTCAAGGACGTCTGTGCCAAGAGCACACTCACCCCCGACGGACGGAGGACAGACAGACTCAGCAACAAGACTGGCGGCGTAGTCTAGACGACAGTGAGCAGCAAAGGCAACAAGCTCAGTGACTAAGGCAGACGCAGCAGCAGACTCAAACGACGGGTCAGTGACAACAGTGGCAAGCAGACGCGTGACAGTAGAGTGCTCAGCACGAAACCGGTCAGACGCAGGGTCAGCAACGACAGGCAGAGAGGACGCAGGGGGAGGCGGCAGAGGAACACGCGGAGAAGGAGAGGAAGGAGGACGAACTACAAGGGGAGGGCTGGAGACAGCCGGCTGGCTCTGACGAGGAACACGACGACCGGTACTGACAGGGGAGACAGGACGCGACGCAGGCTCACGACGCTCTGCAAGGCCACTAGGCTGCTCTGTGTACGGAGAAGGAGCAGGCAGCTGTGAGCCAGGCTGTAACGGAAGACCAGTAGACGAGGGAAGACCGAGAACCTGGCGAAGTGCAGAGTCAGGTGGTGGCTGAGACGACGGAGACGGCGGAGCAAAGAACAGGCGCGGCTGAGCAGTGCCACCAGCACGAGTAGCACCAGCCCCTCCAGCAGCGCCAGTACCTCCAGCAGCTCCAGCACCCCCAGCAGCTCCAGCACCTCCAGCAGCTCCAGCACCTCTAGCAGCTCCAGCACCCCCAGCAGCTTCAGCACCTCCAGCAGCTCCAGCACCTCCAGCAGCTCCAGTACCTCCAGCAGCTCCAGCACCTCCAGTACCTCCAGCAGCCCCAGTACCCTCAGCAGCTCCAGCACCGCCAGTAGCTCCAGGACCTCCAGCAGCACCACCACCAGCCCCAGCAGAAGAACCTCCAGCAGGAGAGCCCTGAGGTGCAGAAGTGGGACGCTGACGGCGACCGTACCAGTCGTGCAGCTGCTGGGAGGTGAGGGGCACACGCGGACGAAGACGGCTACTCCAAGGAGACCGCGGAACAGCAGTCCCAGAACCCTCACGCGACTCACCCCCAGACTCAGCACCCCCAGGCTCCGCACACACAGGCGCAGCACCTCCAGACGTAGTACCACGAGACGCAGCACCTCCAGGCTCCTCACGTGCAGGCTCAGCACCTCCAGGCTCCACACGCTCAGCACCCCCAGACTCAGCACCCCCAAGCTCCACACCCCCAGGGACAGCACCACTCGCAGCAGGGACCGGATGTCAAACTTATATGATCTAGCCTGTGTAGGCTGTAGCGGGTTAGATACTAAGGGGTACACAATTCTAGGGTCTCATATTTGTATCACTTTCATTCCTTAGTCATTCATTCTCGTTCTAAGTTTCTCATGGTATCAAGCAGGTTCCCTCGTGGGAACTGTTCCTAGGGCCCACCAAGATTTTTTTTTCCTACCCGGGGCGCGTGCCGCCCCTGCCCGAAGCGTGCCTAGTGTCCCGCCCCTCAGGCCCCGTCGCTGCCCTCTCTAGGCCCCACGTGGCCCCTTAGCGGCCCCGTCGCCGCCCCTTACGGCCCCGCGACCGCCCCTTACGGCCTCGCGACCGCCCCTTACGGCCCCGTCGCCGCCCCTCACGGCCCCGCGACCGCCCTTTACGGCCTCGTCGCCGCCCCTCACGGCCCCGCGACCGCTCCTTACGGCCCCGTCGCCGCCCCTTAAGGCCCCGTCGCCGCCCCTTACGGCCCCGTCGCCGCCCCTTACGGCCCTGTCGCCGCCCCTCACGGCCCCGCGACCGCCCCTTACGGCCCCGTCGCCACCCCTCACGGCCCCGCGACCGCCCCTTCAGGCCCCGTTGCCGCCCCTTACGGCCCCGTCGCCGCCCCTTTCGGCCTCGTTGCCGCCCTTCAGCGGCCCCGTCGCCGCCCTTTCGGCCTTGTCGCCGCCCTTCAGCGGCTTCGTCGACGCCCCTCAGCGGCCTCGTCGCCGCCCTTCAGCGGCCTCGTTGCCGCCCCTTGCGGCCCCGTCGCCGCCCTTCGCGGCCCTGCCGCCCTTCCTCAGCCCCTCAACCGCCCTTCCCGGCCCCGTCGAGCAGCCGCGCCGTCGTCACCGCCGAGCT